GCTAAGTTAGGCTTGTACGTGTAACGTTTCATCCTTACAAGTCCTGCTGTGAGTGAGAGAATCTGTGATGTTTGAGCGTGGTGCATGTTCCTAAAAGATGTGAGTCGCAATGCCAATTACTAAGTCATGTCCGTGTTTGATAAACTGCTGTTTTAATATCTATCGCTAGGTTTCTCATTTCTTTGCCTGGTTTACGCTGTAAAGATCAAATGACGTCACTGAAAGGAAAGGTGTGCTTGATAACAGGTAACGGTCGCGTTCGCTTGTTGTACCGTACTTGTACTTGTAATTAAGTACCTGATTTTCTCTTCATAATATATTATTATAAGTTGCCGAGCTCATTCATAATAAAAAAATTCGCAAATAATTCCACCAGGAATCTATCAATATCGATCTGTATCAGTATTGATTGACTCCTGATTCCATCCTTTTCATGAATCGTTATTTTTGCTTGCAGGGGCGAGCAGGGGTATTGGCGCAGCAATAGCCATTCGGTTTGCATCTCTTGGTGCTAAGCTAGCTCTTACTGACAGAGACTTTGCTGCCCTCGAGAAAACTAAGCAGCTGTGTGTAGTAAAGGGACTCGCAGAGAACGAGGTGTGTTATACATATATACTATTTTGAGAGCGTACTAATTTATTACTACTACTTATTATACTACTACTTATTTTGTAGAAAAACTAATATGTAATTCGCCACTTTGGTTTTTTGCTGCGATTTTGAGTAAATGTATAATAAGTGTTTTGAGTTACACAGCAATACTTGACTACCCCTAAAGAATAAAATTAAAAACACAGAATTTATTTTTCATAAATGGCACCATGTGGCAATTAAATCATAACTGAGTAAACACTAAAATCTAAACGTTGGGTTTAGCCCTTTCATAGCTCTAACAAATTATCAAACGGGAATGAAAACAAGTTTGTTACCGCTGGAGCACCGCATGATTTATTTGCTCCATTCCCGTAATAATATAACCTTTAATTCGAACCTAATGCCACAGGTGTTCCTCAGTGTTGGAGATTTAGCTGTTGATGCAGATTTAAAGAGAGTCTTCAATGAATGCACTTCGTATTACAACGGCACGCTGGATGTCTTGGTTGGTATCTACGTTTGACATACGGTATCGTGATGGTTATATGTAAACATTTTACCGAAAAGTATACAGCTAACAGAATTCGCAACAATTCAAGTCATGTCTTTACCTAAATTAAACATTCTTACTATCTTCCAACCATATCCTAATCTTTCAGGTGAATAATGCAGGAATAGTCACTCGTGGATCAGTGTTAAACACTAGCATAGAAACGTTGGACAAAACAATGAACATTAACACAAGGCCCAGCACAATTATCTATAAATAAATACGTAACAGCGGTAAGGCTTGACTGTCATGTTTGGAGAACGTCAGTGGGTTCCATTACGAGGCGCACGTAACCAACATAGACACAAGGTAAGCGGTTATTTTTAAATTGTTACACTAGTGCTATTTATTATTGCTATGGCAAGTCTCTATAATTACTACTGTGAGGAGGCATACCTGCTAATTAATACTGTTGCTGGTTTGTCTCCTGCCGCAGGTGAGACGATGTATGGAAGGTTATGTGAATTTACAACCACGCGTTAAAAATCTAGGTGACTTGCATTTAATTTTGCAGGACAATACTATATTCGCTTGTGCCATCGCTAAGTTAGACTTGTACGTGTAACGTTTCATCCTTACAAGTCCTGCTGTGCGTGAGGGAATCTGTGGTGTTTGATCGCGGTGCGTGTTCCTAAAAGATGTGAGTCGCAATGCCAATTACTAAGTCATGTTCGTGTTTGATAAACTGCTGTTTAAATATCTATTGCTAGGTTTCTCATTTCTTCGCTTGGTTTACGCTGTGAAGATAAAATGACGTCACTGAAAGGAAAGGTGTGCTTGATAACAGGTAACGGTCGCGTTCGCTTGTTGTACCGTAATTGTACTTGTAATTAAGTACCTGATTTTCTCTTCATAATATATTATTATAAGTTGCCGAGCTCTTTCATAATGAAAAAAATCGCAAATAATTCCACCAGGAATCTATCAATATCGATCAGTATTAGTATTGATTGACTCCTAATTCCACCCTTGTCCATGAATCGTTATTTTTGCTTACAGGGGCGAGCAGGGGTATTGGCGCAGCAATAGCCATTCGGTTTGCATCTCTTGGTGCTAAGCTAGCTCTTACTGGCAGAGACTTCGCTGCCCTCGAGAAAACTAAGCAGCTTTGTGTAGAAAAGGGACTCGCAGAGAACGAGGTCAGTTATACATATATATTATTTTGAGAGCGTACTGTCTGTAGAAAAACTAATATATAATTTGCCACTTTGGCTTTTTGGTGCGATTTTGAGTAAATGTATAATGCAATACTTGACTACTCCTGAAGAATAAAATTAAAAACATAAAATTTATTTTTAATAAATGGCACCATGTGGCAATTAAATCATAACTGAGTAAACACTAAAATCCGAACGTTGGGCTCCTTTCATAGCTCTAAGAAATTATCAAACAGGAAAGAAAACAGTTCTGTTACCGCTGGAGCACCACATAATTTATTTGCTCCATTCCCGTAATAATATAACCTTTAATTCGAACCTAATGCCACAGGTGTTCCTCAGTGTTGGAGATTTAGCTGTTGATGCAGATCTAAAGAGAGTCTTCAATGAATGCACTTCGTATTACAACGGCACGCTGGATGTCTTGGTGGGTACAAACGTTTGGCATACGGTATCGTGATGGTTATATGTAAACATTTTACCGAAAAGTATACAGCTAACAGAATTCGCAACAATTCAAGTCATGTCATGTCTTTACCTAAATTAAAAGTTCTTACTATCTTCTAACTATATTCTAATCTTTCAGGTGAATAATGCAGGAATAGTCACTCGTGGATCAGTGTTAAACACTAGCATAGAAACGTTTGACAAAACAATGAACATTAACACAAGGCCCTTGTTCTACCTGACCCACCTGGCGGCTCCATTCCTCATAAAAAC